ATGAAGCACTCTACCTTCCCACCAACCAGTATTTTTATGAAAGAATTCACTTTTCTTTTCTTTTTTTTGTATGATTTCTATAAATGTATCTCCATGTAGCCAGACCACTGAAAAGGTCAACACGATAATGATAAATAAATACAGTTTTTTTCAAAAAAAAAAAAAAAAAAAAAAAAAAAAAAAAAAAAAGTGTAATCAAATACAAAGCACCGCTCTACATCACCATCCAAAATGTATCCAAAATGTCCAAAAATGAACTACTATAGATGGAGCAACTATATTATTTTAGAAAATAAAATTTAAAAAGCAAAACAAAATGACTGAAGAGGTCCATATTTCCAAAGCAGCATTTTTTTTTGAGTTAGGAAGCAAAATCTGAATCCACACTTGAACCTGGGCAGTGTACATGCAGTGGAGAAGAGAGACAGAATAAAGAGAAATAGAAAAGCCATCCATGGTAATGGGATACTGCAGTTAAATTGCCTGGTCTCAGCAGGAGGTCCCTTCCACATCCCTCATCTTTCAGGCTGAGAAAGCGCTGCCATCTGTGGTTTCAAGCTATACCTTGTGCTGACTTGCTAGCTACCATGCTAGTAGCATGGTCAAGCAATCCCAAGGGACTCGTTCAGATCTTTCTCTGCCTTATGCAGTTACAGATCTTCATAAAACTTGTTGAACTTGAAAACGTTCAGACTTACTTCTCTAACAAAAGTCACTAAAGTTGATCAACAGAAACAAAATTTATTAGGAGGCAGAAGTGAGAGCAATCACACAGAATCGCAGAATGACTGAGGCTGGAAGGGACCTCTAGAGATCATCTAGTCCAACTCCCCTGCTCCAGCAGGGACACCCAGAACACAGGGCACAGGGTGGCATCCAGGTAGGTGTGGAAGATCTCCAGAGAAAGAAACTCCAGAACCTCCCTGGACAGCCTGTTCAAGGGCTCTGTCACCCTCACAGGAAAGTTGTTCTTCCTCACATGGAGATGTGTTTTAGTTTACAGCTATTACCCTTCGTCCTGTCACTGGCTACCATTGAGAAGAGTTTGGCTCCATCTTCCTCACATTGTCCTCTCAGGTATTTACACATATTGATCACATTCCCTCTCGATCTTCTCTTCTCCAGGCTAAACAGGCCCTTCGTCCCAGCTCATTTAGTCTTTCCTCATAAGACAGATGTTAAAGTCCCTAAATCATCTTTGTCGTTCTACACTGGATTCTCTATAGAGGCTCCACATCCCTTTTATGCTAGAGAGCCCAGAGCTGCACCCAACACTCCAGGTGCGGCCTCACCAATGGCATGTGGACAGACAAGGCAGTTGTATATTTTCACCTCAAATGAAAACCAGGCTGAGCATAACAAAAGTATAAATAGATAGAAATATAGAATCATTGTGGTTGGAAATGACCTTCAAGATCATCGAGTCCAACTGTAAACCTGCCACCACCATGCCAGTTAAGCCATGTCCCTAAGCGCCTCATCTACACATTTCTTGAACCCTGCCATGGACAGTGACTGCATCACATTTCTGGACAGCCTGTTCCAATGCGTCATCACTCTTTTTGTATAGAAATTTCTCCTAATACCTAACTTGACCCTCCCCTGGTGCAACTTGAGTCCTTTTGTCCTAAAGATACTGAAGAAAGATATCCTGAATGAATCTCAGCTATACTAGAAATATTACTTATCTACACCTTCTTCAGAAGTGAATTAACCTGTCCTGTTTCTATCTGTGGAAGAATGCAAGATAAACTTTTGCCACTTTTTTGGAATGGGCAAGAAAATACCAGTTGTTTCACCTGGATCAGTTTATCTAGACTGTGAGAGATTAAATGCCAAGAGGACATTGCCAGCAAAGAGAGAGAGAAAGCTGCTCACTTCCTGGTAGGATAATGAGAATGCAGCAGCGGAGGTGTGGATTTCAAGATCATAGCAAGCTGTGCTTTATTCAGAATGGTACCCACCGCATTTGAAACATGTTCTGTAATCACATGGAAACCATGGCATGGGAGGAACACTGTAGGAGTTGGACTGTGAGGTAGAGCAGGAAAAAAAATCAGCAAAACCAGGAAAATAAATTTGCATTACGTAAAAGGGATATGACACAGTTGTGCTGTTCAAAAGTTATTCCTTATATAAAAAGAAACAATGCTAATAATGAAAAATTGAAAAGCTCTTTCTTAGAAGAGGTAGTTAGGTAGGTGGGAGGGAGAACGTGGGTTGTAAGACCAATATTAGACAAAGTATTTAGAAAGGAAAAGTACTACAAGATGAAAAAATCCCTCCAAAAACAACAGTGAAAGCGAAATAAGACACATTTAAAGCTGTTTTCCTGTCAAAGAGGAAAGTGAAGCCAACTACCTGCCACACTGGATGCTGCATATAGCAAACAGAGAAACAGCAGCAGAAAGAAGTGCAGAGGTCTCTGGCAGTAATTACTGATGTTTCTTTGGAAATATTTATTTATTTATTGGAACACTGAACAAGGAAACTGTGCTTCACTGTCATTGACAAATAAATAAATAAATAAGGTAACTCTCAGCTTTAAGGTGTCAGTAATGTCCAGCAAGGGCAGATAGAAAGTCCACTATTGTCAGTAAAAGGTTGTCCTTTCACTAAATGACTTTTGGCTTATTTCCATTAAGCCGTTATTCAAGGTGCAAACTGAGCACAAGTCAACAGTAAGTCAAGGAAATAACTTGTTATCACATATTATATAATTGCTCGATGACCTGCATTTAGTGAGTCATGGGCCCTACTGTAGTGGCTGGCTCACATGCCAGGAAAACTTTGTCTCAACTCTCAGAGGACTCGAGGTAGCTGTGGGATGAATAAGCAACCTGCTTTAGGCCAAGGTCAAGTCATACTACTAGCAACGTATGAAGAAGCCCGCACAGCTTCTTGACAAGCCTAAGTTGTACTTTGCGGTAGAGCCACCTTAACAGAAGATTTCAGTCTTTGCCAAAAGGAAAGGAGAACATTATGTTGTTCAACAGGAAGGAATAAAAGCAATGCATAATTATGTTCATACAAATCAGCTCTGAAAGTGGATAGCCTTCCCAGCAAGGCTGTCCAAAGGATTATCCTAGCCTGTAAGAAATAATTCTACTTCATACCAATTCATGCTGAAAAGTCACTGAAAAAGAAAAGTAATTTTATACTGTCATCTTTTTTTGTTTTATTATTTTCCACTTTCGATGCTTTACATCCTACCTATGCACAGCTCCTAAGCTTACATGAATTTTATCAAGTGAAGCTTAAAATTAAGCATATTCCTAAAAGATTTCTGAAGAGGAAGGGATTTAAACATATGTAAAATGAAGTTCTCATACAAGTACTTTGCTGAATTACAGCCACTTCAAAGCTAAACCCCAAAGCTTCTGCTGCCTAGCCCCTCTAATATAACATGCTTTGTGGGTGAGCAGTGATATGCAGTACTTTTTATTTTTAATAATTCTAGATAATTTTTTCAAATCTAATGTTTACAGAGAACAGAAATAAAAGTGTGACCAAAAGCAAATATACGCACTGTGAAGTACTTTGTTTCACAAATACCTTATAGAACTATGCAACAGATACTTCTTATATTTCAGCTAGAAGAAGCTCCATGTCTGATGACTTTGTGTAGCTTGTGGTCATGCATAACACTCAAGTTCACCTTTCTGGATGACTCTGCCTGAGTTGCTATAAGAGTTGCTCTGAGTTTTCAAAGGAGGAATTTTGTCCCAGGAAAGGAAGGCTAAGGAGAGGAATCACTGAAAGACAAACCCCAGAAAGATGATGAAAAGCCCTGCAGAAAATGTGACTCCTTCCTCCTTTGGAAACTTATGAAAGGACAGAAGCAATTCCTGGCCTCTCCTGGAACACAGTCAGACAGACTCCTATGGGAAGCTGTGATAAGTGTGTTCTTGTCTTCTGTTCTATTCATCATTGATGTCAAGAGCATGACACTCTTAATGTGGATCAAACTTTTCTCTACAATGTATTTCTCAGATAAGATCTCTAGGAAAATGTAGGGTAGAGGAGGACACAGAAAGAGAAGGAATTAATGAAGAAATGCAGAGGGATTCTCTTGTCACTAATCACGGATACTAGAAGAGATACACTTGCCTTTTTTTTCCATTTTAAAGCTACAGCCTTAGGCAAGTTATACTAAAATTAGCTTATTTTTAGTTCAGTGAACTATGATTCACTATTATAGCTATGATATTTAGCAAGAGACACATAGAAACAATTGCTGAATTAAATCCACACTATTCTCTTTTATAGATAAAAACATTCTATTGTTTTAGAGGAGCTCTCCATTTTAGTATTTTAGAAAATGATTCTAATTCCCAAGTTCTTGCAATTTTCTTGAGAATCTGGGCTCTTTTGAAACAAGACTTTAGTGCTACAGAATACCTAATACGTCATGACTACAGGTCATAAAACCCCCTAAATTAATCATTCTTGATGACCAAAACTCTCCCAAACAATCTGTAAAATTTCATTTTGACTATAATTTTCCACAAAAGCCGCGTAATTCTGAGAGAATGGAAGAATGGAAACCATGGATTCATCTGTTTTCAGAGTGTCATTGTTCTTTTTTGTTAAATGTCAGATTTTCTCTGATGAGTTGCGAAGCTTGGCTTCAGGCTAATATCACATGTGCTATTCATTTTGAGTATAAATAAATACACAATTATGTAAAGCTCATGCAGTCCTAAGCTATAATTCTGCAAACTATTTAAAGAATAGACCAATTTTATATATACATGAATGGTTTCACTTAGCTTTTACTGGTTGAAATATTTAGCAAATTCAAAGCACAGGTAGAAGAGTCCTTTTTCAGGGCAACATTGAAACATATGCCCCAATCTACCATTCTTCATAAAAACCCATACTAAAATAAATGTGTTCGAACACAGTTGTTTGCTATGAAGAAAGACAGAAGTAATTATGAACAGAAAATCTATGTCTTAATGTAGACTGCTAAATGATGCAGTAAAACAGGGACTCACTTGAGGGTGGTGAGCTCTGTAAGGGATGGCTGGGTGGCCTTGAGATAGCTCTCTCTTCGTGCCGCAATCTTTGGAGATGGCTTCGGACTTGTGTCTGAGTCTCCACTGTCATCATCCCCCATGGCTTTAATGTAACTGCCACTACGCATTCGCCGGCAGGGAATCTCATCATCTTTCCCTCGTGGAGTGTACCCAGTCCATTCATCTTGAGGAACCTGCAGTTGTAAATAAAATTCCTTTATGAGTACCCTTTTCCCTGAGATTTGCACACACTAAGCCACAACAGAGCCAGAACTGATATTCAAACGGATGAGATCCCAGCTCCAGCTGTGGCCCACTTGTCTCCCTGTGGAGTCACAAGCACTGCTGGAGTTGTCTCTCATCTTCCACTATTTACCTGGGAAGTGTATAGCAACTATGATGCTAACATCTCAATTAGATCTACTATAGTCTAGATAAATCTGTTTCTGGTTACTACTGCTTTCATTAAAGGGATCACCATATCCAAATGTTTGACAAGATGCAATATGGATCCCTAACGAAAATATATTCAGAGTACATGACCCTGTACACACCAGAATGACCTTGGTTCAAGACACATTCCTAAGCAGTTTAGCTGCGTACTAAGCATCACAAAAGTAGGTCTGTAACTGTGAAATTACCATGCTAATGCTTCTATAACATGCTTAGTGCTAGTGGATACCCATTAGCTTGCAGGAGTCCTTTTGAATTGTGCCAGTGTGTATGTCTGAATTATCCCTTTCATTCCCTTCTTTGTCTTTCTTCTCTTCATCTTCTTCTTCATGTTCATTATTTCTCCCGATCTGAAGTAGAAGTCACACAACTATGGCTGTGGAAGCAGGGAACACAGCCTAGGTTTCCTTGCAAGATTTTGGGACACAGCAGAGAGGGTCCTCTTGCCCACCCACTCCCTGCCTTACTCCGCTCTTGAGGCTTCTGATCATCTTTTTTTTACCCATTGTAAAAAAACCACCTGTCCCTGAAGTAACAAAAAGAATTGGAGCAGAAGTGGGTTCCTGAAAGAGTTATTTTGCAGAACCCCCTTTTTTATAGTAAAGGTGAAACTACAAAAGCATTTTTAGCTAAAAATATTGTATGCAAGTTTTTATATGAGTAGTTGCCAGTTTTCTCTTTGACTGCCTATTTTTCTGATCATCCTTCCTGCATCAATTATATAAGGCAAGCTATAACTGCAATACCCCAAAAGCACTACAAGCTGTATTAAACATACAATATCAAAGTTAGGATGCTAAAATTTGTCCTGCAACTTATGAATACCAGCATTTGCCAGGAAAATGACTGTTTCTTTTCTATGAAGAGTTTTTTTCTCTTGCAATATTTAACTTGTGATATATATTATTTGTATTTATTGCTTTTAAACTTCAAGCACAAGCGCCTACATGCCAGTGTGTTTAGACAATCAAAACTGAAATACTGGACTGTTTGCTAACAGCCTAGCTTTTGACTCCCCCTACAACCATAAGCCTCAGTCCACAGATGTTACTGTCAATTTAGGTCAAATTCTATGGCATAAAAATCAGGTTATGTTGCTGTAAACTGTAATCCACAAACACTGTGTTAAACAAAGGAACAAATGCACTGAATGGTCCGAAGCATTCATGGAATTATTGCTGGTTATAATCAATTAATCTAAGTATTCACAAGCCAAGCCATTGCTTTCTTTCATTCCGATTCAAGCCCCAAACATCACCAGCTTTCTTCCTCACTTATTTTTTTCTTCCTGCTGCTGACATTATGATCTATGGTCGCCTTTGAACTTCCAGGCTGAAAAAAAATCACTTGTTTTCTCCTGTGCTAAATCTGAGCTCTCTTTCTTCCTCCAGACCTCTCTTGGTTGAGACAGGCTCTGATAAACTCACTGGGAGTGCTGGCATTTTCCTCTGTGAGCTCAAGATTTAATCCTAGAAGTGTAGTTGCAACTCAGAGCTGTATCAACATTTCTTTTTATTACCCAATTTTCCTTCTTAGTGCTTCCTTCCTGGATGCTCCTTGTTTTCTTTAACCAATTCCCTCCTGTTGCCTCTTTTAATCATCAATCTGTGTTCCTTTAAATAACTTTTGGTCATCCTGGTTAATAATTCTGACTCCACTTCAGTGTGTAAAGTTTGTCTCCTTCCTTCCTTCCTTCCTTCCTTCCTTCCTTCCTTCCTTCCTTCCTTCCTTCCTTCCTTCCTTCCTTCCTTCCTTCCTTCCTTCCTTCTTTCTCTCTCTCTCTCTCTCTCTCTTTCTCTCCATCTTTCTCTCTTTCTTTCTCTTTCTCTTTCATTTCCCTAGGGTTCAAGCATGCATATTTCCTCACACAGGGAAATATTTCTATGTCTGAACAATGGCATACAGAATTGCTTATCTATAGGAAGTAATGAAATCAATATCCTTACATACAGTCTACCTTTCTTTTAATAAAGATGAAAGATCTAATTAAGTGCTAGAGTAGCACAGACAGAGAGTACTAAATATTAAGAAAAACTGGAAGAACAGAGTTGAACATAAGGCCCTGAGAAGTTTCCATTTCAAATGGAATAAAAAAAAAAGGAAACGGTCATAGGCAATGTTTCAATTCTTTTAGATTTATGCTGAGACTCCAAACATGGGAAGTTGTTGAGGCTCATTCCTAGTGTGTATGTATGTAACATGCAGATGAATGTAGCACTTAGATGTGGCTTTGATTCTTCATTTGTGACATAACAGGAATATGGATCATTTTAAACTCCTCCTCCAGCACACTTAGAAAAAAGTCTCCTTCTCTTTTTTTTTTTTTTTTTTTGGCCTGGGACTACAGGATCAGAAAAAATTGCAGTCTCTTTTCAATAGCCCTCAAATTCTGACAGCTTCTGCTTGTCTGGAATAATGGAAAAACTTGATTTTCCAAATTACTCATGTTCAAGAAGGAAGTTAACACAGGATTAGTGAAATCAAACTTAATGAAATACTGGAAATTCATTCAGAACTTTAAAGGCTTTCAAAGTATATTTCTAGTCACTTTTAAGACAGATATTAAATATCTAAGTAAGAGCATGTAAAGCTTCTGTGAAATCACAGACATCATGCTCTTCTATCTGTTTAATATTTTACTTACCATACTTTAGTTAAGGTTCTGTGTTTTTCCTTATTAAAATAAAAAGAGGAATGAATCCATTAATACACTAAATAAAATATGGTAATATAACATTCAGGTTGCTTTAAGTAAAAGTCAAAGGATTAAAAGTTATAATGCTCACACAGCACTTCAGGCAAGCTGAACACTTGTAGTTTATTAAATAACAGACATACTGTTAAATTTAAAGCTCTAGTCCATAGCTGCAGTATAGATGAGATACAGCTGCCGTGGGCATCATAAATCTGAAATTCTCAAGTTGTGTTGTCAATAGTAGCATATGTAAGTCCAATACCTGTCATCTGATGACGAATGATTTAAATACAATAGGCCCAGTTTTAAAAGGTGGTTGCAGTGAAAGTGCCACAAAACTTGCTATTTACAGATGTGAATACTGCAGATGGCAACATATCCTGGAGAGACTGAAAGCCCTGCTCTGACTGCACAGTTTGCACGAGGTGATTGCAAGGAAGCTCCTGCTTGAGATCGGCTCGCTCAGTGAGGCAGAGCAATTTATCACAACACCACACTCTTATTATTAACGCCCCTTCTGCCTTTCAGCACTCTATAGTTGCGGAAAAAACGCTGAGTTGCTCACACAGACACCAGGAACAAGGCGGATTTAGGGAGCATATTCTTATTTTGGATATTTTGGGGTACTGGAACTTGTTTTGGGTGCTGGAACTTGCAGGAGAAAAATGATGAAAATTATATGAGTGCAACCCAAGTTCCATTACCACGTTACGGTTTTAAGGGTAAATCCTCTATTTGCCAAAGTGAAAAAGACAGCGGTGGTTAGGCAAATACCTATTGTTGGAGAGTAGCCTAAATATCAACCCAGATATACTTCTGATTTCACTTTAGGCACTGAGGATGTCTAAGGGTTGAAGAAACTGTCCTGTTTGCATAGACAAGCTGCAGTAAGGAAGTATTTTGGATATTTTATTCAAAAATGGTAGGAACAGCTATTGCATTTTGTTAAATAGTTTACTTAGTTTTCTTTCAGATATTTGAATGGTTTTTTTTGTCAGAAAGCTTTCAATAAGGATAGTTTCAATTAGGATAGGAAATTTGGGTCCAACACCCCTCTATGTTCTTGCACTTTCACTAAAGTTGGAAATTTTGGAATACAGAGCAGAACAAAATAGTATGATGCTGATAGAAAGCACTTGGAAGATAAAGACACTCTTTAGAAGTATTAGATGTTTCTTTTCTCTATTAAGAGTTACTATACTTCTTATGAAAGGATCTCAATGTTGTCTCTGTATTACTTGAGAAGGACACACAACATTTTAAACTCAGCATTTCTATGTTACTGCTGAGAGAACAGAGGCAGATAACATCAACATTTTAATGCTCTGTGCCTATAGGTAAATGCCTAAAGCAATACAAACTAAAACAAGTGACCTGATTTTCAGAGCTTCTTTGTTCAATGCCTAATAGGAACAGCTGTAGCAGCACATAACAGACTATGCAATTTACTGTCACAGTGAAGTGTTTCATATTATGGAAAAGAAATCACACACTGAGCTCTCTCAAAATTGCAGTTTAGGAAAATAAAATTGATCACAGCCTCCTGCATTCTGTTTCTACATATAAGGTACTAAACACACTCTAATGCCTTGCTTTCTGTGGGTCTGGAAAATGCTGGGAAAAGTGCCTGTGTTAACCTTCAGCGCTTCTTACATTTTTTGAAGTCAGGAGGTCTGCACAGATTTTCCCCCAGGCTTTTGCTGTGTTTGAATGGCCAATACTATACCTTACAAGGTCACCTACTATGCTGTATGCAAGTGCATATGCACAGGAACTGCTGCCTTGGAGGATTAATGGCATTAAGATTGACATACTTGGGATAAAGCAGTTTAATGTTTTCAAGAAAATCGTATTATCCAATTACTTGGCAATATCATTTTTCAGTACCAGACTATCAAGCAGAAACATCACTTGCATAATTATCTTTACTCTCATGAAGAAGAAGAGAGAACTCGGTAGTTAAAAAGAAAACTCAGCTCTAACAATGAACATCATTGTTTTCACTAAAATAGAGCTATTATTATTCACAGTATTGAAGTAATGGAG